TAGAACTAAGAGATAATTAAATACCGAAAGATATACGTTTTATAGATTTCTTCATATTTAAATTAAAAAAATTAACAATGAGGAATAACTTTTCATTCTAAAAACTAAAATGGAAGATAATAATGATGATGATTTTCTATTCAATGGTTTATTTTTCCCAATTGAAAAATTTCTCAACTACATTTTGAATTCCTTCACAAGATTTTAACAATAAAAATCCTCAGTCATCAACTAGTCTAACAGATGAGATTCTTAAACAAGATTTTCAAAGCAAAAACAAAACAAAAATCTATTCTGAAAATGATGAATTTTCTTCAATTAATATCGTTTGCAAATATACATCATGGTGATGAAAATCTTGATTCTATTATAGAAAAACAAGGTCTTAATGGAGCATATCTAAGAACTTTTATAATAACGACAAGGAAACGAGAAACCATACCATCGGAAAAGTGCATTGTTAAAAATAAATTGAATAATCATCAAATCAAAATGAAAATAATAAAACTGAAACAATAAGTAAAATATATGGCGATAAACATTGTAAAACAATAAAACAAGATGGTAAAATAATTCGAGAATATGGAAATGCAACAATAAATGAATTAGATCAAGTTTATTCATCATCGAATGATAATAATGATCAAGCAATTATTTGCGAGAATAGACGTTCGGATTTTTTCTGCAAAACTATTTTCTTAAATAAAATTTTCTTGTTCAAATGATCTACTAAAAATAAATGAAAGAAAATATTATTTTGGTCGGTCATTTTTATTTTGAAAGAAAAACATTTAGTTGTCTCGCTATATTTTACTTAATATATTTTATCTTCTCCGATTGAAAATAAACTTATCAACAACGACAGAAGAAAAAAGGTATCGACTCAGATCGGATGAGCATCCAGCAACTTATATACAGTTAGAAAAAAAATTTTTTCCTCTAATCTTCATTTACGATTTACTCATACATTAGAATATCAATTTAATTTTGAGAATGTGAGTGTGGGTGTGTATCTTTTCTTTCGTCACCAGTATACTCACACCCCTCATCCACACCCATAAATGAAATAAAGGATATTATCAATTCAGAAATGATTCACTGGCAACAATAATCCTTTACGATAATATGAATAAGTGCGTTTAATTATTACTCTGAGTTCAAGAAAATAAGCTTACTTTTGATTAACATTCATTAATGAATGTTTATCAGGTAGCCAAGGATTGCTCACACTAAAGCTGAGCTCTTGCAATTGTCGATGATACTTAAGTAAATGTAACAGAAAGGTTAGTGAACATTTTCGAAGTACAATTGATTGTAAGTTCAAAAATCTTGTTTCAATCTGCATGAAAGCTTTATTAACTGGTAGAACCATCTTTTTGTATACACTGCGGGGAACGAAGGTGACATGGGGGTAACAAAGGAAATAAGTCAAATATTCGTTCATAATATGCATCATCAGGCACACACCTTCAAATGTATAAGCAGCACGATAGTAAGTTGAAAAATGTACGCCAAACATGATGAGAGAAGTGTTGGATAAAAATAAATGTGATGCTAACCATAATCCATTATCAATAGGTGATGTATCTGATACATATAATGAAATAATATATTTACATACGTTCGATTGTAATAAATGTATGTAATAGAATTTGATCATCGCTATACTTATTCGATTTTGATGCTATCGAACATTGCGTATGATTCTTGTTTAACAGCTTCATAAACAATAATACAAAACTTTATGATTCTTCCTGACGAGCAACATCGCGATAAAATGGTGGTGCTATTTCTATTCATTAATTTCATACGTCAATGTAACGTTTATAAGAGTCAAAAATGAAATTTTTTATGATAATCATTAATTATCCTTTTGTGCTCACATGAATCTCATTTTTTTAACATATTTGATAGCTTTTGTTTTTTGGAATAAAGCTAAATGACAATTATGAATACTAATTTAAGTGATCGTTATTTTTTTTTCACCATACATTGTCCTTTCCATTTACAGAACAATGTTTTTGAATGCTTGCGATAATGAAAACTATAAGATATTAAAATTCTCATACTCTAAGCTGTATCTTTGACTCGACATAATATGAGATAATAAATGTCACAGATTCAATTTTCTGTTGTTTTAGTTAGATTGTATCAAAATAATTCATTCTGATATTAACTGGTAGAAAATTTTGTGTAAATTTCGTTTGTATTCATTTTACAATTTAACTTTTTAAATACTCTCTTAAATTCTAAATACTACATTCATTAAAGTATCAAGTTGTCGATATCAAAATTTGATAATATTGAATTTTAATTTTTCATACAATTAGATTAGATTTTAAGTAGTTAAAAGGATACAAGTTTCTGATATATATATACATATATATGTTTAATGATTTGATATACTATTTAAATAGCAAATGCACTAATACTTTTTTGCTTTGTTTCTAATAAGTGTTATCATCTTTTTAATTATCAAAAAAAACTTAGTAGCATTCTGATTTATCCCAAAACTTAGCATTTTCAATCAATTATGTATCTCGACCTTCTCCTTCTTGTCTTATATTATAGTCATTGATTATTGTTCGAAAAGTTTTTATTTATCTATTCTTTCAAATAACACGTTAAAGAATATGTTTATAAATTTCATTTCCATAAATAAGTAACTACCAACGATCATCAATAAATGATGTTAAATAAAGTATAAAATTAATATTTTGATGTTCTTTTAATCGTAATAGTGAAGGAATAATTAGAATTGCACTATATATGTGTTAAATCCATTGGATAAAGAACAAAACGAAATTGATCGTTTTTATTTTTAATAACAAGACCAAATCGTGAACCAGATAGATTAACACGAATACATTGAAAATCTAAAATAGTAATAATCAAAATATCATTTATTTATATTTTACCAGCATCATCTGTATTAACTAAGTTTTCTTTTGACCAAATTTTTATTAAATTCTATTTTGTTAATGAAACATATTGTCATATAATTTCTTTTTGAATTATGACAACAAATAAAAAACTTTTATCTTGTACAATATAAGTCAAAGAAATAAGATGATTTGATTGAGTACCATGAATTTTTTAATCGTAGTATTTATATCTAAATCTGTATCAAATAATACACGAGTTATACAACTCAAAACAAAAAAAAATAATCACGGATTGAACACCAAGCAATACTTGATAGAAAAACCATCTTTTATAGTCAATCGTGATAAATTTTCACTCTAAATTTATTAAATTATTTAAAAAAAACAATAAAAATAAAAAACTAATTACTTACTAAAGTACTATTACCATTGTATAAGATAAGTTCATCTTTATCATATATAAGAATTTCATCTGGTTTTGAATGACTTCCCATAGCACAACAAGTTGATGAAAAACTATACAATTGTGCAGATACTGTTCACGATAATGAGTGACGAACTGTTGAATAAAACGTAGGTGTATCAAGTATATTTGTTCAAGGACATCTTTTAAGATCATAAATTGAACCTGTTGTATTTTTTTTCTAAATCAAATAGATAATAATCGATTAGACTGAAAAGGATCAAATCAAACTTGAATAGATGTTGGTAAATATGTTTATAAATGACTAAGACAAAGATCAAGTAATCTATTTCACCTGTATATGTTGAACTTGTAAACGAATATCCTCTGCTATTGAATTTTATCGAATTATATCTCTGTTATACAAGGTTCATTTTCAATTCGCCGATGGATCTAAAAAAACACGTGTTATTTAAGATCTTATCAGTTGCTTTATACTTACAACGAAGAGCAAAAACTTTTAATTGATATGCCATTGTTGTTTTGGTAAGGTACAACTTTCTATTTCATTCATAAGTTATAGTACTATTAAATTTATTTTCAATAGTACAAGTAAAGGGTGAGCCAAAAGTCTTGGTCGTTCTTAGAAAAATTGTTCGTTCTCCCTTATTACAAATCCAAAAACGCTCAAAATTGGGCATCTTATCCCTTTTAACTAGACGAATATTACCCTAAATTTTCAGATCTCTAGTCCTTATTATAGGGGAGATATATAGGTTTGTATGATAGAGAAAATTTTTTTCCATGTCCTAAAATCAGAATAGCGAGGGGTTACATAAACAGAATAAAAGAAAAAGTAAAAAGAAAGACATCAGAATAAGGAAATATTAAGAGAATTATAACGAATCGAATTATACCTTAAGATTAATGTTTATGGTATATTTATTTAAATATCTTTAACTCTGATTGAATGCTTATTCACATATGACCATTGTCCACTATTCATTTTCGACAAAACTGTTTCAACAATTTCTCATTTTACGATTGTTTAAATACTAATGTTGCGAAAATATATAAAAAATATTAGACAACAAATTTTAACTCCAGCGATGTTGAAAAACAAAATTATAGAGATTTGAAGAACAATCAATCGACAAATGTGCTCAAAATTGATGAATTCAATACTAAGAAAATTGCAATGTTTAATCAACAGAGAAGGTTACTCAGTCAACAAAAAAAAGATTGTAATGGTTTATGAAAATGTAAAACATTCTGTTGTTTGTTATTGTATTAATAGTGAAAATTAATTATTCTAGACATTTCTTTTGGATAAACTTTTTTTTTACTTTTTTGCGACATGAAAAAAAAAATCTTCTCTATCATACGAACCTATATATCACCCCTATAATAAGGACTAGAGATCTGAAAATTTAGGGTAATATTCGTCTAGTTACAAGGGATAAGATGCCCAATTTTGAGCGTTTTTGGATTTGTAATAAGGGAGAACGAACAATTTTTCTAAGAACGACCAAGACTTTTGGCTCACCCTTTATGTGTACTATAACTAGTAAAAAAATCACATTTTCTTGATGTTTAAATGAGGCTACATAAACAAATAAGAATCGGGATACCCTATGGTTGAGCAAGCCCATATATCGGTTAAAAATAAAATGAAAGTTCTTTATTGTAAATGAAGAGAGACAGTTTCTATTTTAAAAGTATGAAGTATCTTGCGACATTGTTTGATGATTTTGTTCATGTTCATAATTTTCGTTTGAATTTCTTGCTGCAGAGTATCTTTCTTCGACTGATGAGTCTTGCTCATGTATTAATTGTGATAAATATTTTTTAATATTACGTCTTTCAGTCCATAAAAATAATAATAATGCTACAACAGTAATAACTACAAAAATAACAAGCAATCCAGTAATTGCTTCGATGTCAAAGGATGTTGATGGTAGCGTTGAATCGGTACAAGTTCGTGCTTGATACCATTTTTGTTTCAATTCATCAAGTTTCCCTGCTTCTCTAAGTGATAATACACTAATATCTAAATCTGTTGCATATAGCCATTCTTTAGGAGTAACAATGCCCCAAGCACTTGGAGCAACACTATCGCCAACTATAGTTAAATCGCAATAAACATTATTGATGCCATATTGAGCCACTCCTTCATCTACCAAAAAAACGTCGATTATGCCAGCTTCTAAAGAATCCCATAATTCTTGGTAAGAGTGTACTGAATAATAATTTCGACTTCCTGGAGACATCACTGTTTTAATATAGTCTTCCGTAGCTGTACCGGCGAAAATACCAACACGATTGATTGGTACTTTTCCATTTTTAATATCATCTATTCCTGATACAACAAACTGCGATTTCTGTATAGTCAGATCTGATGCTAAATTAGCAGTATATGATGCTACTAATATTAAACTTAATATATAGAGACCAGCAGTTAAAAGACGTCCTCCAGCTGTACATGCATTAAATTCTACACCGTATCCAACTATATTACCAAAAGAATACCATTGGAAGGAACCATTAAGAACGTCCAGATAAATACGAAAAGATCAACATCGATGACTATCAATTAAAAAAAAATGAATAGTAAATCTTCAAATTTCTCAAGACTTATATATTGACTAAGAATATTTTTCTTCTTGTTTCATACAATACCCCAAAAATTTTAGTTCCTTCTAAGAAAATGATTAGTTAAGCCG